ACAAGTATTAATTTTGCATGCCTTCGTGACTTTACTACTTTTAGGTATTTAATATTGTCAATTTGTATTATATATATATATTAATTTTTTATTATTATTTCGTTTCTTACTACGTGACGACGATGACGAATTTTGTTGTAATAGTGAATATTACAACAAAATTCGTCATCGTCGTCATCTGTATCGACAGCATTTATCAATTGCAGCCCTGCGCTTACACAAAGGGCACCTGCGCGTACCCTATTGGCAGGTGGGAGAGAGAGCGCAATATCGCTGTCGCGTTCTGAAAATTTATGGCCAAGTCTGCAGTGAAAAAATGATCTTACTATAGTGATGCAACAGACGTTTGCTTCTGCCGCAACTGCGGAAATTTCACACGCGTTTTCACATTTATTTCCGGTTCTGCTTTCGTAACTTTATAACGGAACTTTAATCGTAAGTTTACAACGTTTGCGACAAATTACATTGCTAGCGCAAATTGCTTGGCGGTAGAGCGGGTTTTTAGCAGTTTTGTTTTGTGTTAAATGCAATTATGAAACCAATAACAAGCCCTATTTAGAACTGTTTCGTTGAGATCTTTATAGTATTTATATTTCCGTTTCTGCGAAGATGTTCTTTTACATTTGTTTTTATTATTTCCGATATGACACTTTCATTGCATCACGATAACGCAGAATTAGTATAGGACACCGTTGACACACGGCATCCTTTTACATGTTGCGAGCGAGATACTCGTACAATTTTTGATATTTCTATGGACAAACCGCTGTAGACATCAATAAGTGTGTCCTGACTTGAAAATAACTACGTTTATTTGTATGAAATAATTTGTATTTAATGGTCATGCTTAGTACACTACTAAAATATGAGGTGTCAGCATAATAATCAACGATTGTATTTATCATTCTAGTGTTAGACCCAGACCCGGGCGTAGTACTGTCAGTCTTAATGAGACCATCGATGGTATCAGTGGGACACGTATGCGCTCTTGCATTACATTTGCGTCAGCCACTGGACCACCCACGACCGCCGCCTGCTCAGCGACATGAAATTGTTGATACCAAGTGAGCGTAGCATTCTGTTCAATATTACCAGAAAATACCAGTTGAAATAAATTCTCTATTGAATGTTCCAATGTCCGGTCCTGGGCTCCCTGCATTGCAGTGTCATAAAAGCAACAAATCATTTATCGACATCCTCCTGTATTTTTTCCTTTAATTTGAACAATTCATAAAAATAAACTGGCTGTTCTTGACACGTCTTCAGAAAGTCACAAATTCGTTTATGGACAATGTAGATAATATCTTATCGGTTGATATTCAAAATTTGCTATTTACGAGGTTTAAAACTATAGTGAAACAAAAACATTACAATAAACGTTTCTGCGTACTAGAATGACAAAAGCCCATGGTAATGACCTGTTTAGCTCTTGCAGGTTGTCCTGATCTATCACATTTGAAATAAATATTGTAAATGATAAAAGTTACAAAATCTTTGTTTATAAAGAGCAACCCCTAGAGTTTCTTACTCATTTCTCTCAAGGGAATCTGCCTTATTAATGAGTAGTAGAGTTTAATCAATGTGACGATTTCAAATGTAATTTGCTTACCTATGAAATAATGATTGTTTCAGTTTTGAGTTTAATTTTTTAAACATTTGCCATTGTTGTGGAAATGGGCCGTTATACTAAAAAAAATATATCGCACGTGAAACCGAATACTGTCGTAACTCAAAATGATGAAATTGAGAAAACGCAAAAACGAAAAAAAAATTTTTTTTAATACTGAATGAATCTTATTGACTATAATTGCATTATTTTCGTTTATACATAATAATTAGTTATCTACTTATAATGGAAAATATTAATTTATTGGTTCCATTCAGTAATTTTTAAGTTTATTGAATGTTACGATGTTTTACTACCATGGTATTCAATTATTTTGTGTGAAATTACTCCACTAGTTTGTTATAATTATTATAGCAAAGATCAAAACACTAATAAGAAAAATTTATTCGATCCGGCTGGATTCGAAACAGCACCTTTAGGCCATCCGTGCCAGATGCTCTGCCAATTAAACCATGAAACGAACCAGCAGACCTTAGGAATGTTTGTATGTGATTATTGCAGATCTTTATTTTTTGGTTTGTAACGACTTTTTTGCCGTAGTACTATCTGTGAGAAATTTATTTCTTCACTCAGACCCTTCAGTAATTTTTTGACCTTTCAAATCGTGTTTTCTCAATTTCATATTTTTTTAGTGATGACAATATTTTCTGTCACCAGCGGTATGTTGTTACGGCGGCAGACACATTAGAGGGACTGTTCTTCGTAACAAGCACTGCACATGAGGAGCTAATCGTCGCCTTACTTTCTCAAACTCGTATCTTATAAAGAGGGATTATTCAGGAGATGACAAATTTTTCTATTTATTTTAAATTTCGTATCGTGGGTGTTAATTTGAATAGATTACTTTAAGAATAGGTGAAAGCCAGTATGTGAATATGAAGGAAACGTGATGTGAATCAACCTGCATAATTTGTATATACAATAATTTTTTTGCATTTCAGTACCATTGTACTTTAAGATATGAGTGTGAGAAAGTAAGGCGACGTAATGGTATAATCAGAAGGCACTTGCTGTAACCATAGATATAGAAAAAAAGCGGAGACGACGGAACACAATTTTAAAATTTAACAAAATTAAACTTACATTCACTTGAATAAGAGTTATATTACAATATTTCAGTATTTTATTCATCCTGGTTCAGCCATTCACCAACAGGTGGCGTTTTAGTAAAAATACTTCTAGTATATAATAGCTAACTATTACACGTTAGATGGCGCTGAAACTCATTTTTCGTTACACTAAGAACTCACGGAGCGGTTTTCACCCACGTCTGCCGCGGGACCGCGGCATCTGTAGAATGTAACAGTTCAAGTATGTAAAATTAGTAGCACATTTCACGGCGCGTTTTACGCCTGTAGTGGTGACGGTTGTTCGAGGTTGCCGCGGCGGGGTACTACTAGAACCGCGCAGGACGCGATGACCTGCGCGCTTGGCGGCCGTCGTCACCCGCACACTTTGACGGTCGGTTCAGGCGCAATGTGGTGCGACCGCAATAACCGCGCGACTTGCAATTAACTTCCACTAACTTCGCGGTCCGTTCCACAATCGCAACGGTTTCGTGCCCGCAACCGCGGCAGCTATGTGCCCGCACAAACTTGCAGGGTCGTAAGTATTGAAATAAAACCGTTGTCTAAATGCACCGGCGGGCGCGAATGGAAACCGCTCCGTGAATTCTTAACCTAATTAACCTTAAACTGACGCTACTCAACGAGCGATGTGGTGCTACCTAATCGATAGTTGGAAACCATGTGGCTGTTTTTAATATTAAAAAAAAATATTCCATTTTCATACTATATCTACACTGGTACTGGTTTATTGTTAAATTAATATATTAATATAAATTATTATTATTTTCTTAATGGCGGCCACTAGGCTTGGACCAGTGCCAGTTTTATAAGAATAATATAAAAAATATGGCGATCGTCGCCAGTGTCAATTTTCCATTATACGTTACCACGGGTTGCTGAAGCTGTCACTGTGAAGAGTAAACTCGAACCATCAACGAATTAAATTATGTTGTTCGTTATTAAGGATTTATGTAATTTTCTATAATTGTTTCTAATTTATTTTGCATGCACATGTAAAATAAAGCCCATTTTATTTTATTTATTTTTTAAATGCATTTGCTATGGAAATTGAAACAAAGTCAGAAATAGTAATAAGAAAACCAATCTTTCGATTTTCCTGCAGCTTCAATCCAACCTTCTTTTATTTTAAACTCATTGGAAAAACTTAAAAATTAAAAATACTCTACGTTTAATCTACGAGTACAATGGAATTTAAATATCTAAAACGCATAAATTTTTCTTCAAGCAACAGCAACATCCAAACTGACATGAAATTGAAACTGTGATGTGAAATTGAAACCGAAATATGAGTTGTGTTAAAGTTACTCGAAATAAAATGTTTAGTAATAATTATAAATATATATATATATGAACATGAATATATATATATATGACGTGAATGCTTTTCGCTTCGATATTTTATGGACTTTGATTACAAAAATCATAGTAAGAAATTAAAACATTTCAGTAAAAATGTATTGTCGATAAACATCAGTCTTCGTAAATGAACATCACTATATTTGAGTGTAGAAATTTATATATATATATATATATGTCTTATCTTATCTATCTATCTTAAATCTACATAGGTTTGTCTGAGTGTTGCAATTACTCTTATAAAAAACACGAATTAATAATAAAATTGACGAAGGTCAAATAAAAAAATCTTATTCACTAAAATAATTCTCGCCATCGAGCTTGAATCGCCAACAACGCAGAAAACCGGTCCCGCTTCCAACGCCAGCGAACATACTGGCTGCTTAATTAGAATAATACCAACGTTAATTTATTTTTTATTTATTTTTTTTTTTATTAAATGCGTTTTATTTTTATTTCATTAATTTTGTGTATATTCCTCCTAGTAATATATATTTGTATATTATTTGACTATAATTTTAATTTTTAATTTCTAACTGGTGATACATAATATTAGGAAAAGAAATATTTTTTTAGAGTATACTTTATATTTTTTGGGTTCACTTGTTTTTTAAGATGCAATAGTAACTTATTTAACAATCTAGGAACCAGGTAATCGATTGTACGCTTTCCATAAAAATTACGAGCTCCTATAGTCATGAATTCTTTAAAATTTTGATTGAAATTAAAAAAAGTTTTCCGTTAATAAAAGCATATTGATTCTTTCTTGTACTGGTAGTACTTTGCAATAATATAAAAAAATTATATCATCATCTTTAAATTTTTCTTTAATTTTAAAAGGCACAAGTTGTTTGAGGATTCTGAGTTGAAGACTATAAATCCGATCAATATACGTTTTAAATGTACGCCCATAGCTGCTTAGACCGTAACATATAATACTCTCAGCTAATGCTTTATATAGTTGCAATCTTACGGTGAATGGCACTTTTCTCTTTAATAGGTACAGTTTAGCCATTATTGCTCTTAATTTTGTGCAAATATAATCAAAGTGAGGACCCCAATTAAAGCGGTTATCGATAGTCATACCGAGGTAAGTGTGGTGAGCTACCTGTTCTATGGGTTTGCAACTACAAGCTGGTGGATTGTCATGCAAGCACTGATGATCATGTGCAATCATTTGGTTAATCACCGCGTTATTGTGGCTGGAGTGTATATGAAGCCATTTAGTTTTGTCGGCGTTAATAACCAAGCCGGCATCGTGAGACCATTTGCAAATTGACGTAAAATCATTCTGGAGATTTTCCAAAGCAGTTGCAGCGTTCAGGTCATCCGATATTAGACACGTGTCATCTGCAAATTGAAACACTGTGCAGTTTTCTATGACGTTATTAATATCGTTAACATATATCAGGTAATGTAATGGGCCCAAAACTGAGCCTTGAGCAGTGCCCTCCGTAACGCTGACTGCATCACTGCAAGCACTACCTATTCTAACACAATAACTACGCTCACGAAGATAATCCTCACACCATCGAAGCAATGTCCCTCTGACCCCACTATTGTCAAGTTTTTCGATAAGTGTACTATGACGCAAAGTATCAAACGCCTTGCTGTAGTCTTGAAAACTACCAGCACGTGTTTTTTATTATTAAGGCAGTTGTTTACGTAATCAGTAAATCTTGACAAAAGCTGAGTCGTACTTTTATTGGACCTAAAACCATACTGCTTTTCCGAAAGTACATCATATTTGCCATAAAAGTTATGTATTTCATTACATATATATTTTTCAATAATTTTATCCAGGATAGGCAAGATGGTAATAGGTAGGTAATTGCCATATTCCGCTTTACTCCCTTTTTTGTAAATAGGCCTCACTATCCCCTCCTTAAGTTCCTTAGGATATTTGCCAGTCCAAATACTCGCGTTAATTAAGTTAACAATAGCCAGAGTAATCTTTTCAGCAATTTAATATCCATAGGCCTGATTGCGTCTTTTCCCGCTGATTTATTAATGTTAATATTTTTAATACTATTATGAATATTATATTATTAATCCTTTCGCAGATCTCAGACTGATCACAACAACACCTCGTCTAACGACCCGACACCCTGGCTTGTGGATTTTATTACAAAATTATCCCCCCCTTTTGTTCCTTCAGAAGCTCCTACCGTTATAAACACCTCCTTGTCATCTCCTGACAGTATGAATGCCCCCTTCTCTTTTGAAGAACTAAGCTGTGCTTTGGACCATTTAAGGGATTCGGCGCCGGGTGCGGACGGCATTCCCTATTCGTTTATTACCAGGTCCTCTAATCCTACCAAAATTTTTTTTTTGAATATTATAAACACAATTTTTGAATCTGGCATAGTCCCTATTTCATGGAAAACCCAAATTATCATTCCAATCATAAAACCTGGGAAAGACCCATCTAATGCAAACTCGTATCGACCTATCGCCCTATCATCTGTTTTAGCTAAAATCATGGAACACCTAATAAAAAACCGTCTGGAATGGATAGTAGAGAGCAAGGGATTGTTACCCAGAAGCCAGTTTGGCTTCCGAAAAGGCATGGGCACTATGGACAGCCTAAGCATTTTTTCATCAGATGTTCGACTAGCCCTCTCCGAGGGAAAACACGTCATAGGTGTGTTCTTAGACATAACATCAGCTTATGATAACGTGAACCTTCCACTACTCTGGCAGAAGATGCTCAATCTGTGTATTCCTGTGAAGATGATCAATGTCATTTACAACATGTTTATGGGTCGCTCTATCGCAGTGCGTGTTAACGGTTCCACAACCCCCTCCCGTATGGTCTGGAACGGCTTGCCTCAAGGTTCCGTTCTTAGCCCTCTCCTTTTCAGCTTGTACACGTCTGACCTCGGCACTTCAGTCAATTGCTTCTGCAAAATCTTGCAATATGCAGACGATATCGCCCTGTACGCTTGTTCCAAATCTTTTTCAGATACTGAAAGACGCCTCAACTCTGCCCTTTTTTACCTAGACTCTTGGCTTACCGATCACGGCCTCTCTCTTTCAGCTAACAAAAGCACAGCTGTCGTTTTTTCCCGCAAGAGACGCCTCCCTGAAACTGAAATACATGTTAATGGGGAAATCATAGAACTGAGGGAAAAAGTAAAATTTTTAGGCATTATTCTGGACTCAAAATTATCTGGCATCCACCACCTCAACTATATTTGTCAAAAAGCTGAAAAAAGCATAAATGTCCTACGTGCACTTTCTGGTGTTCGTTGGGGATCACATCCGTATAACCAAAAGCTCCTGTACAACGCAATCATTAGAAGTCATTTTGATTATGGCGGCTTCCTTCTGGAACCATGCAACAAAATAGCCTTGGCTAAGATGGACAGAATCCAGGCAAGATGCCTGAGAATAATCACAGGTACCATGAAATCCTCACCAACAAACGCTCTTCAAGTCGAATGTCTGGAGCCCCCTCTACATCTACGTAGACAATTCCTTGCTAATAGATTCCTCTTCAAGATCTTTCAATATTCTTCTCACCCTTTGCTTCCCGTATTGCAATCCTTGTCGGAGATTATCCCTTCCTCCAATTATTGGTCACACAAGAAACCCCCCCTTCTTATCAACAGTTTTAACAAAATTTCCAATCTCCCATTCCCTATTTACCAAAATTATATGAACCCGTTGTTTGAAACTGATTTTAAATGTTTAACGTTTCGCCCAACAGTCTATCTTAGTTTTGGCATCATGAAAGATACCCCTGGAGCAAACCAAGTCTTCAACGATATAGTTGAGAGAGAATGGCATGACTGGACTACTGTTTTTACCGACGCTTCAAAATTACACGAACATGGCGACTTGGGAGCCGCGGTTTGGTTCCCCAAGTTCAATGTCGTACTCAGTTTTAAATCCCCCTATCTGAATTCGGTCTTTTCGGGAGAGGCAATTGCAATACTCGAAGCCATTTTATATATTGAGTCCCATAAAATTAATAAATGTTTGGTTTTCTCAGACTCACTAAGTTGCCTCCAAGACATTATTAAGCTACCGTTTCATTCCAAAGACAATTTCTCCATCACCCTCCAAATTAAGGAAGCTCTGTACCGATGTCATTGTGCGGGAATTGAGGTAACTCTGGCCTGGATTCCCGGTCACACTGGGATCAGTGGCAACGAAGCAGTAGACGCCTTTGCAAAGGATGCGACAAGAATTGGCGTGTGCAAATACTGTAAGTGCTTTCCCAGAGATCTGCTCGCCATGACTAAACCCCAAATGCTAGCCTCCTGGTCGGTCCTTTGGCAGGAATCACGACAAACTGTTGGTAGACACTATGGTAATCTCCAACCAAATCTACCCACTAAACCCTGGTTTTTTAAACGTCGCGATTTGCCTAAAAACATCACTTCCACTATTATTCGTTTGCGCTTAGGCCATGTTTGCACACCTGTATTTTTGCGTAAAATCAGAGTTCGAGATCACTCTCTGTGCGAGTGCGGCCTAGAAGACGGTACCTTGGAACACATTTTTTTCAATTGTCCTAATATTGCTGTTCCACTTTATAACTTACTTTCTCCAAAATTCCCCCGCCCCGTTAACATAAACAACCTCTTAACTTTAGTGTTCTCCCCCCCATATTGTTACTCTATGTAAATTTATCCACTTAAATAACATATATTTATAAATATTGTTTTGCTGTTTTGTTTTACATTCTCAACTGAGTACTCCCGTAGTCCAACTTACCAACACCGGTTAATGTCCTATTAGAGCTTAGCGAAAATTTTTTTTTGGTTTCGTTTTTTTTTCTTTCAACTGTGACATTGGCAAAATCATCAGTTCTCATATTGATGGAGCCATAAAAATAAAAAGTGAAGTGAATATTATGGGGTTTCGCCTTTTTAATGTACATAGATATATTGCTTGAACTTGTGGGGTTACGTAATAATAATTTGTTGCAGTTTGGTAATATATTTTGTACAGACTCTTTTGAAACAGCTTGCGAAGTTATTCGCAATATCGATTTCATTGATAGTACTGGATTTCAATACTTTTAGTATTACATCGTCTAGGGAGTCAGATATTCTACCTGTTAGCGAATTGAGGATTTGCCATACCTTTTTTGTGTCATTCTTAGAGTCATAAATCATTTTCCTATAGTAACAATTCCTTGACTTATCTACTAATTTATTGGTTTTATTACGAAGTCTATTATATTCTACTAGGAGTACCTTATTATTGCTATCCTTTTTTAATTCTGTGTATTTTCTGTCCTTTTCTCTTATAAGTTTAGTAATTTTAGAGTCAACCCAAATTTCTTTACTACGTTTCGAATTTTTTAATTGTACTGTGGATTTTTGATAACACTCTGTAATTTTCGATTGAATATAATTATAGATTGTATTAGGACGCAACATATGGCTGGTTGGTTCCCAATCTATAGATTGTAGCTCCCGTCTCAAAATAGTATTATTAAATCTAGTAGTTATTTTGGGTGCAGCCTGTATGTTGCCCGTCCCTATGCACGTGACAACAGTCAAGCGATGATCAGCCAGTACAGTCCCGAGCGCAGCACAGTATGTGTCTTGAAGACGGGATCGAACGAATAAGTGATCGATATAAGTTTTTGAAATTTTATGTAACTTAGATTCAATTCTAGTGTAATCTGTGATCCCGCATTTAAGACCACACTCATACATCATGTCTAAATACTGATTACGTATGCTATCCATTAACCTAAGGTCAATATTGAAATCTCCTAGTATAATTTGGTCATCGGAAGGATATTGGTGCAGTGTACATTGTAATTCTCTAAGATTTTTTTTTCTGTTTGTAGAAGGAGGCCTGTATATCCCACATATGTAAAGTATGGTGTTATTAATAATAATCTTTCCCAATAAAATTTCATAGTTACTAGTTGCTACGGAAATAGAATGAAAGTTATGTATTTTAGATACATAAATAATAATTCCACGTCCTCTTTGTTTTTTTCGTAAATTAGTGTACATATTATAACCGGGTAGTTCGAAGAGTGATTTAACACTATCTGATATATTGACCTCTGATAATACTATCACATCAATACTTTGGGAACAACTATTTACTAGGTGCAAAAGCTTTGAAAAAATTTTTATAATAGACCTAATATTAACGTGAATACAAGTAAAACTACGTGAACTCTTAGGAATACAATTCCAATAATCGGCTAAATCAATACAGTTTTTAATTTCTGAAATGTTATCATTGTACTCGTATGAAGCCATTGATAAACAATTAAATATACCTTCAATTTTATACGTACCGATAGGACTTAAGACTTTAATTTAGACAAATCACTTTCACATCTCACAATAAGTACCTTTTCGTTATCGTTCTTTCTTGCCAACACTTTACCTTCTTTGCACCAGACGTATTTGTACACACCATTGAGTTCTTGTTTACTTTTCCATAGGAGATTTTTATTGAAAGGAGTGAGCATTTCTCTTGCGTATATTCTACCGTCCATGTGATTGGTGATAGTTGGTAACAAATCTTTAAGTGTAATTGTGGCTTCCTTAGTAGCTTGTAACCATATTGACTTCGTACACTCATATATTAATGTAACTTGTAAAAGATCTGGTTTTCCTGCGCGTGGCGGCACTCGCCTGGCTTTTAAAATTTGAGATGCCTCACAACGGTTCTTCTCCGAATTGATTTTCACACTTATATTACGAGTTATGGATTGAATGTTTTCTTGTTGCTGAAACGGCACACCCACAATCTCAATTGTATTACATATTTGTTTTTGATCAACTTCGTTCATACGTTGCTCTAAGGCATTGACCCTGTTTTCAAGATTTACAGATTTGTTTACCAACTCCACATTCTTTTTTTCTAAATTCTTAATCTTCTGCTTAAATACCTGCATTGTTTCAAGGCACTCATCAACTTTATCACTTAAATACTGAACTGTCCTATTAGTTTCGCTCAGCTGTTTTTTCAATAGTTTACCAATTTGTACCTGCAAGTCGTCCATGAATTTTTTAACATCAACAGTTACAACCCACTTTACTTCACCATCCTCTTCCTCTTCGTCATCTTCAGGAATCACGAATGAACTTCTCCTAGTACTGCTATTAGCGCAGTCGTTGCAAGGCCATTCCATGTTATCAGCTGCGCGTAACGCCGTAAGTTGTTTAGCTGTAAGCCCTGCACATTCGGTCTTCGCATGTACCGTAATTGCACACTTGTTGCATTCTAGGCCTGGAGGTTTCTTAGTAATACTTTTATCACATATAGAACACTTCTGCATTTTGAGGGTAGATGAAACTAAAATTAACGCGACAGAATAATACGTGCTGTTCATACGAACGTCGAGCGAGAAGTGAACAAAACGAAAATATGGAGACAAAAAGAAAACATTGAATAATAATAGAAATAGTAGCTAATGTAAAAAATAAAAAATAGTAAAAATGCAAATAGCCGGTGGAATGTTATCTCACTGGTTTTAAAATTTTTGTTTTCACTCCAATTTTTACAAGGTGTATCGCTACAACTTGGCATTTTCACGTTTTACGAGAGATCTTGTATACAACGATCGCCAAGTCACTGTGGCGATGTTTGTAGGTGTGTCACCTCGATATGGTCATTTTGATCATGTCGAGGCGACGCGAACCACGCCCCCATACCATATCTCCCCTTTTTTTCTATATCTATGGCTGTAACTAAGATCTCGAGTCCGTTAAATAGACAGCACAGGATCACAGTTATCAATATTTGGTTGAGTTCTATATTTGAGTTTGATTTAAATCATTATGTTTCTTCTAGCACCAGCAGCAGCACAGCATCAAGTTGGACACTCGAACAACTCGGGTCAGAAGGGCCATCGGCGTCAAATGATTCTGGATCGGAAGGTGTCGCTGAGGGAGCGGATGTGGCTCGAGAACTTGCTGCTTTAGCCTTAGTTCGCGCGCAATTACCAAGGGCTGCCGCGCAACTGGTTAAGGCCTTACCCAAACCTGCACCAGAAATCGCGCAGCCCTTGCAACAGATATTACAGGTAAGTACCACATTTTGTATTATAAGTAGATATTTGCGGTGGTAGCCTAAGCCTGAAAATACACGTCCGATTTTTCCATGGCATGGAAGGCGTTCGTACCATATATTTATTTGAACACTCAATACGCATCCGATCCCATAATCGATCCTAAATTGCTGTCGGAATTGCGCCGAGGCGTTTACGATTTTGTTGCCGGTCCGATTGTCGACGACCTTATTTTTTCTTTCGCGACTAAACGAGCAAATATGCAGTGAGTACAGTAATTCGTCGTCCATCTTATCTTTCTGTTCCATATGCGATCAATACCTTCGCGCTGATAACTTTGAAACGACTACGTTCGGAAAAAATGTGACAAAAGAATCGGATGTGTGAATGAATACGATCAGATAATGGGAACCGACTATCAGACATGAAATCTGACGTATATTCTTAGGCTAATGGTTTGACCTACCGCCTATCAAGCAGAGTTTTTCGTAATGTATGTGCGAAATTTAATTTGAAATTTACCATGAGCTTTTCGATGAAGAAAACTTCGTGAAGAAACCCGTCTGCAAAGCCTCGTATGATGTATGTAAAGTTCCCAATTCACATTTGGCTCGCATGAGAACTACAGCCCAAGCCCTCCCATTATGAGAGAAAGCCTGTTCCCAGCAGTAGGACTCTATATAATAATAATAAAATCGTGGAATATCTCAACACTTTATTATATTTAGTTTTATTAATAAGAGCTAATATTTCTTTTTATTAACTAGTAAAAATAAATATAAGCTGTACACAGTGTTTAATAACAATAGTGGTGTGAGATAAAAAGGTCTGTAGCTCAGCACAATAGAGGAGTGTTTCACAACGCCGATATTCTGCTACAGCCTGTCATGCTCATATAAAGAAGAACTAACACACATTATCATTCTAGTTCTAAGATTTCAAGCCGATTATTAGATACTTACCACACACATGAATCGTTATAAAGATTTTTTGCATTATTATAACACACAGACTACACAACGCCATTCATCAGTGGCGTATGCGCTGCGCGCCTCGCAGCGTGCCTCGCAGCGTGTCTCGCAGCGTTTATTCTAAAATAACTTGTATAATTTACTTAGACAACTTCAAACACTTTGTAAATCAACCAAGTCGTTAGTCTAAATTAACAATAAAAATATGATTAGCCTTAACGGATAATCTTTGCTCTCGTCACCAATTTACATAAATCATGGGTTATCCCATATCTGATGCCTGATAAATCTAGATCAAATCAACCAAGCAAAAAATGTCATTAGGTAATTTTATTTTTGCAGCTAGCAGCTCTTCTTCAATGTCGCAATCATGCGCTAATAGACGTGGAAACAGCATTAGAAGCTGCTGAAGGTCAAAATACTGACAACATTGGGCGAAAACAACTTGTTCCAGTCTCCATGATTGGAGGCAAGCGAACACCTACAGCCAAACAAAAGCCAAAATCAATTCCAAAGGTGAAGGAAGTGCAATTGAAAGTGTTCAATCAGGTCGAATGTGATAGTGCTAGTGATTTGCCAAATTTGGATCCATTACGACTTAGAACAGAGTGACTAAGGAGGAAAATTATGTTGTATAGCTATTATCATTGAGACTTGCGACTCTAATGAGGTAAAGCGCGTCACACATGTAAGTCACTCTTACAGTCTTGAATAGAAATATGATATTATGAAATATGTATATAAGAATAATATTTATGGTTCATGTTTATTTTTAATTGTTTCCACAGCCTTTTTCCATCTACTAGAAACCGTGAATTCCATTCACATTCAGTACTGTATATATAAAACATATCTAGCAAATGGAGAATATACGATGTTGGTATTTTTTAAATTCTTTTCGTTAAGAAATGGGCAAAGGTTTAATTCATACTAATCGACTATGAACAGGCAACCGGTATTTTGACAACTTTACATGATGAAGAAAAAATCATTTATATAGCATCTGTAGGGCTAGCACGACCGAGCGCGACTTGCGCGAGAGCGACATAAAGCGCGGGATTTCTATGCGAGAATAACAGTATCTCGCGCCTTATGTCGCTCTCGCGCCAGCCGCGCCCTATTGTGCTAGCCCTACTGGTTTATTAAATAAAAATACGTAGTGTACATACATACATGTGTAACAAAAATATTTAAAAACTACATATTTTTATTTAATAAACGAGATGCTATATAAATGACGTAAACATTTTGTTTCTTCACCTCTAAAGTTGTCAAAATTGAGCTAGTACCGATGGCCAGTCACAGTCGTAATGTTAGTTATGTTTCTGCTTATCACACGGAAGTATTAGTGTTAAACACTATGACATGTTGATAATGATTGGTCGTAGTTTCTAATTGAAAATGGACTGTTAATATAATTTAAACCCTTTTGGATTTTAGTATCAGTAGAGCTCCTTGTGAAAGAGTTCGGCCAGGGAAGTACTGCAGCTTACCTATTTCTGCCGCCAGGCAGTAATGTAAGCAAGAGTAAGGGTGCTGACAAAGAGGACAATCTTAAATTGGCGCATTCCTACTTACCCCCGCACATTTATGATGTTTTGTTTGTTATTAAGAGATAATTATTATTAATCAAGTTACTCCGAATTTTCGTATAGGTGAACAATGTCATAAAAACATGAATTCTGACTCTTTCACAGCTTCCCTTGGGAAGCAACAGTGAGGGCTCGGCATTTATTATATATAGATTTTGAAGTGAATTTACCCATTCAAATCATTCTAATTCTTCATTGAAATCGAGTTAAGACTTGGCTAAACAAATAGATAATGTACCCTTAGTGGCAATGCTCAGAAGTAGGTTAAAATGTATCAAGTGTGCTTATATCTGTTTTTATAACTGATTTGATAGCTCTAAAAAGACCATCTACTTCATTCTCTATCAGAAGACAATTAATAATAAAAATGACAATACTTTGCTAATTTTCAAATTAGTTTCAAATAATGTGTAAGACATTTTTTGTTTTGTGATATCTGAGAAATATTTATATAATTCTACGTAAAAGTATTGTTATGTGCGTATTCCACAAATCATAGCCAGCTAAGCTGGTCAATATTGCCATATTATAATGTATAAAAAAATTATTAGATATTTAAAAAACTGACCTCCAAAGTTTGATTATTGATTTTTTAATTTAAATTACAAATATTTGTCAAATTTTATTGGAATCAGTTAGTGCAATGTGCGCGAAACCGGATTTTTCCCCTAGTTTACCACCCTTAGAGGTGGAATGTTTTGTTCAAAATGGAGGTATCCTCTTTCCAACAACAAAAATAATCATCGAAATCGGTGCACAATTTAAAAGTAAACCGGAGTAATCTCGTAACATACAAACAAAAAGTCGGTTGATAATGTATGCACAAATCAATTCGCA